AAAAGAACAAAAATTGAAAATGTTCAATTTGTGCTTGGGCACACGCACACTCTTTCGAGTAAGTAGTTGGGTGACATTATTAAAGTGCCCCGTCATGTGCAAAACTCCTATTTTCCATGCTTGTTGTAAGGGTAAGGGTACCTGTGCATAATAACTTTTTGGGCCTGCCAAGCACACACACCTTCACACTTTTCTATATGGATGGAAGCATTTATGCGTTTGTGTGCGTGTTGGTTGGCTGCCTGTCCAATGCAATTTGACAAGATTTGAAGTTTTTGGCATTTCTTAACTTCGAGCTCGACAAAAACACACAAACACAAATATGTGCGAATGAGCCGATCAAGGGTTTGTCGTGAGACAGAGATATTTTCATCAATGGGTGCGTAAATTTGGGCGACGGTGGGCTTGCGGCCGCGTAAGGCACAAATGTGTGAACAGGCAACGAAAACAGGTGAACCGCACTTGCCGCTCGTTGCACTTTGATATGGAAAAAATGCTAGCGATCTTTTTATGTAGTTTTTGACATTGTAAACGTTTTGGGTTAAAGGGTTTTATGGCAGGCAATTTACGATCGGAATGTGCAGCATGCATCCATTCACCTGCTTTCGTTGCCTGTTCACACATTTGTGCCTTACGCGGCCGCAAGCCCACCGTCGCCCAAATGAACATCTCAATTTTTGTTCTTTTCTTAGCATTTTTCGACAAGCCGACGAGGAATTTCCCTTGCAGAAATATGATTTAGAATTTTTTTGATTTAAAGCAAAATAGGTCCCCACAGTAAACAAAAATATTAGAATATATAATATAAATATTTCATTTGGGTCATTTAAGTTTTTAATAAATATAAATAAATCAGATTTTTCTCATTATGCCTGACTGGACGAAGAAATACATTATAGAGCATTTGAATATGTATGCCACAGGCACAAAGGGCACACAATTGAAGAAAAAATCTCTGGCTCGCGACAAACGCCGTGATCTACTTGTGCGCACATCCACACAACACAAACATATGTATGTTTGTAGATCTCGGGGATTTTGAGAAGCTATGCAGAGAGAAAGAGATGCGCACAAGCGCGCAAAGCAATGAGTGGGGGCGAGGCAAACTCTGCACATGCATATGTATTTGGGCTGTAAGGTTTTAAAACTAACATACATATATTAAGAAATAGAATCAGCCGCAGCGAAGTTGTGCGCTGAGCGAGATGCGGCTTCATACTAAACGTTCGGCTGCCACTCTCAGCAGTCGTACTCTATCTGGGCACACTAAAATGGTCGCGGGCACCCATGGGGCTCAGTCGTCGACGATTTATCGGGATCCGATTATTCCGCTGTTCGACATGTCTATGCATTGCATAGTTAGTGGTTCAGGGTATCCCCTAGTCGTGAGCTCCCGACTAGAACCTCTTACTTGATATACCCTGAACCCATTAAAAATAGGTAAAAAGGGTATAATGTATTTGTGCATATGTATGTAACAGACAGAAGGAAATTTTAGCTGTAGGTCCTCCTAGTGCCCGCGCAGATCGAGTTCGTTTCCGATATTCGATAACTTGCCCCGTTTCCAAGTAATCGATAAAAATCGATATCGAAATACTGTTTTTTTGAGCAAATTGGGTAAACAATAAGAGATAGAGTCACCAAACTTGATATGTTGCTTCTAGAATAGTATATATATATATCAGTATCTTTTATTTTATACCCATCACCACCCCCCGCTACCACCACAAACCTATAAATCAAGTAAAGAAACCAATTTGCATATGCTGCCTGCCAATATAAGCCACAATTTAAATGCAATTGTGAGAATACAAAAATATTTTAAAGTACAATAAGATCTACTGATGAAAATTACATCAATATCGGGTAAGAAACACAAAAGAAAATGCGTTTCGGCTGCCCAAGAATTTCTGTATTTATGTACACACACACATTCATGTGCGTCTTCTTTGAATTCATTCAACAGCATTGCAATTGCGATTGTATTATTTTCTGTGCAGCTGAGGCGGCGGCAGGTAGTGAGGTCTGCTGCGAGTTCGAGACCTACCGAGGGACATTTTTTTTTTTTTTGCCTGCTGTGGCTGTTGATTAGAGGTGGCGGCAAGTAGTTTGGTTAGTTGCGAGTTCGAACGCTGCCAAGGAAACGTTTTTTTTTTAAATTATCTTTATTACTAAAGCAAACGAGCGCGTAGAGCGAGCTGCATTTGGTGTTGGAAGAAGCGGGAGCTCCCGACTAGAACCTCTTACTCGTTTTTGGTTATACTGGTTATACACTAAGGACACTCTCGACTTACGCACCTTCACTTGTTTTGTATTAAGTGTGATACAACCAAAACTATGAAACACACACGAATGCAAATATAGGAGAGTTTGTTTCCGATAATTGAAGACTTGTCCAGTTTCCAAGCAATTAAGAGCGAAATCCGTCCTTTTAAACAGATACATATCTTAAATTTCAAAATTTAGAGCTTCTAGAATATTTCATTTTACAGCTATAATGTAATTGTGTTTTTGAGAATATATGAATATTTTATAGCACGACACGGTCTACTGCTGAAAATCTTATCAACCGGAACACTGAAGTTATTTAAGAAAATATGTGCTTGCTTATACGTGTATACGACAGCCAGCCCAAATTGCAAGAATTTCTATGTACACACACATTCATTCTATAAACAGCATTAGCATTGCAATTGTGTTCTGTGCTGTGTGTACGTTCTCATATTTCAATTGTTTTTTTTCTTTTTCGTATGGCTGTTGAGTATAGGCGGTGGAAAGTTGCTCGGTTGGTTATGGGTTCGAGTTTATGCCTTTGCAGTGGGTATTATAATTTTGACTTGAAATGTGTAACGCATAGATGGAGTCATCTCCGACCCGTTAAGGAATATATATTCTTGATCAGTATCAAAACCCGAATCAATATAGCCAGATCCGTCTGCCTGTTTCTATGCGAACCAGTCCCTAAGTTTTAAAGCTATCGTCATGAAAATTTTCAGAGTTCCCTCTTTCTGTTGTACGCTGTTTATATGTCCGAACCGGCTGAATCGGACCACTATATCATATAGGTGCCATAGAAACAATTGGTCAAAAATTAATTTTTTGTATGGAAAACTTTATTTTTTTTTAAGATATCTTGACCAAACTCGGCATTTATAAGTTTTTTTTGTATAGTGTTAATGTAATGTAGCCTGAAGTTACTCAACAAATTTTCTTCCGTTTTAATTTAAGACATGTTTCCGATTTAATTATATACATATAATGTTTTCGAATTGATACGCTTTATCTCAAGAAGTATTGTTTTATTATTTTCAGATATTTTCATTCAATTATTGAAGAAAAATATTTTGGTTATTTTTTAACGATTGGCATTATTACTTTTTTTTATTTTTTTATTTACTATTTTTCCTATTTTGAAAAATGAAAAGCCACTCAAATTTCGTGTATGTTATAAATTATATTGTCACGAGCGAATGCCAAAGTCGCGGCTTGCTGATGCTGACACGAGCAAAGAAGTTAGTCGCCAGCCTGCCTTCAGCAAAGCTGGTCGATGGTACTTTGCGTCGCTTCGTTTTCGAAGTACATTGAGCAAAAAAGTTTTAAACTTACGATCGACGCATAGTATTTTTGCCTTATCCATTAAATGCAAGCATTATTTAAATGATACATTACCCTAGATACTAATGATAAATTTTAAGAAAATTATATAATTATTTGCATCGACTTAAAAATACAGTACACAAAATGCATTCATATGTGAATACAAATTTGGGATAGGTCATGCATGATCAGCGCTAGAAAACTAACAAAATTTATTTCTTTGCGAGCTAAAGCTAGAGCTGTGAATAACAACACATTCAAATATGCTTTTATCAAGCTGCATAGTAGCATTTTGTTGTATGGCGTTTCTCATCTTAGTGCTTATATTGTCTTTGGTAAGACCATGTTTTTTTTACTAAATGAATCCTAATCCCGAAGTTTCTGTACTAAAAGCACAAATTGTTAATGCATCCATCCATAACATGCTCTCCGATCATTTTGGTGAATGTTACTGATACTGTCTCATTTTTTTTTTAACGGCATGAGAAAACCCTTTTATTTAAAATCTATCATACTTTGAAAATAATAAAATTTTTTCGTGGGTACTTAGTAGGATGTGTTTCATTTGTTGATTTCCAATTGAAAATAATGACGGTGTTTAGTAAGTGGTTGGGTTGGTGAGTGATGGGAGGGGGGTATAATTGGATTAAGTGATCTGGTCTCTTGGAAGATCCAGCGGGTGCACTATTTTGTGCCTTCTGGCGGTGTTGTTGTTGTCCAGCAGGCCAACTGCTAGGTTGTTGTTATGTAGGTATCTGCTGCTACTTTTAGCGATCTCATGACACCAAATGTCTTGCTGAAACATATGCATGTTTCATAGAATTAAATGTTACTTTGATGGAATTCTTCTATCATCAGCTGTTATGTTTACCGATTATTTTAACTCGTATGTAAGCATATACAATTTAGTTAACAACGTCATCACCTGCAATGTATTTTAATTAATTAATAATAAAATTTTTGTTATATTTGATCAGGCATACCCGCAGCTGAACATGACAATTGACACATCATTTGAATCGAACGGGTTAATCGTTCTAGTTGCTCCAAGTTTTGTCATCACTGGCTTGAATAAAATGCTGGGTAATTGGGAACACATTTATGTTTACTTTTATATTAAATCTTTGAAGTCAAATATCCAGCAGTAAGCCAAATTTCCAACGATGAGGTTATCAGGAAGGTCACTGGAGAACTTTACGGTTGGAACTGTGGGCTGTCTCTAAAGACATTCTCGTGAATATATCCGGAAATATTCGATTTTTAGTTAGAGAGCTAGTGTATGATCCCTATATACCAACTTGGCCCAGTTGCAATGTGTACTAAGTAACTTATAGGAAACTATAATTATAAATGTTGGTTTAAAAAAAATATTATTCTAAAAATTAATATTACACACGTACATGTTGCGTAGAAATCAATGTATGTTTTATTTCTGTACCTACTGATCTGAACAAAGTATATATTAATATCGTAGTTGTATTATATTAGTAATATCGTAATTGTTTTTATTTTATGAATGCTTTTTATGTAAGTTTGTGACAATATGTGTATGATGAGCTTAGGCTGTAAAATTAAGCAATGTTTAGAAAATTTAAGTGAATTTTTACATACGTATATGTAATATTGAAAATAAATTAATATTTTGATATAAAGTGAAAATGGTTGGTTGTATTTCTTATGTGTGATGATCCTTGGTTATGCAGATAAGACCGACATTGAGCAATTGTGTTCCTCATATTAGAAACAATGTTTACACGCTGATCTTGTGCAGTGAAATTCGTGGCTATGTTTAAAGTCGATAATGTTTGATCGCTTTGGATGCATTTCTGCTGATTCTTATTATTAAAAACACTACGGCTAGTTCGCGTATGTGGACAGTAGGGGTTCCATTTTGTTGTGAATATATTTGTTTGCAAGGCTGTCTGTTATCCGCTCATATGCTGCGCACATCTACCATTTCGTTTTTGTTGGGTGTCTCTGTAATTCTAAATTACCAGAGTCCCGATGAATATCCGCCAGGTGGCACACGATTCTTGTTGATAACCTGGCTACTGCCAATTTTAGCTGGCTGTATGTAGTCAGTTGCACCAGGTTTGTAGCCCTCACCAGTAACGGGATTTCCTTCTATAGTGATGTAAATCAAAAAGTACAAAGAATTAATTGACATTAGTGCTTAAGTTAGCTGCATTTTAAAAGGGAAGTAAATATTTTCATCCAACATGTTAAAAGTGCCTTATACAGACATAGATATTACGAGTTTCAAGACTCTAGCTTCAATAAAGGGGAATAATGGCACATATAGACGGGCAGACAGCAAAACTAGCATTGTACAAAAACAATATGTTTTTTTCAGGTTTTTTTTTTTACAAAGTGTAATGAAATAACCAGATCTTTAAGTAGCATACGAGAAATTAAATTGTATAAAAAATCATATTTTACCTGATCTTATACCTCCGTTAATTTTTAGATTCTCAGTCGAAGAAGAAACCGAAGATGACGCTGATGATACCGAACCACTTTTTCCGTTATAATTTCCCTTGCTATTGGAAATTAATTGAGCGGTGTTGGGATTCTGTCCAACATTCAATATGTTGCTTTTCATGTGATTCTTGCCAGGAGTAAAGGGACGAGTCGGTTCTCCAAATAAGCGTGAGTAAGAGTCAACGGGCTTTTGGCCTCGACGTGGTGCATCGCCTGTTTTGTAGATTTTGAATTTAAAATTAAAATCGTTTCATTTTTTTAGTTACACACCAAAACAAAAAGGAACAAGGAGTTATTCAAAATATTGTAAATTTATAACTACAACGATGCGTAAAAAACTAATAAAATGGTAATTATAAGAATAAAATAGTAACTAGAAAGTGTCTGAAAACTTTGGATTTAATTATTAATTTTATTTTTATTGACATGTATTTTTTTCAATTCAGTTGATATTAATGATATCATGTAGATCGAAACATGAAGCGCACGTTACTAATAACATGCATGTTCGCGTGCCCATTTGAATAAGCAATTCGATCTTAAAGACCATATAATGCGCCAACATTGGTAATTTGGTTATAAATAACACATTTCAGGATTAGTTAATTTTGCAGTTTGGGCTTATGCTAGACTTCTTTCCAATTTTGTGAAGATCAATCTGTGCCTGCCGTGCATAGAAGGTGTATATATGTAGTGTATTAGCACCGTGCTAGAGATTAAGGTGAGCTTAAAAAGGGAAAACTTTGTAATTGTGACAAATGTTCACAACCAATTGGAATATATTGCAGAATTGAATTATTAAACGACAAATCATTAACAGACTTAAAAGAAATATATGGTTTGTTAAATCGGGAACTTTATGTTTTTTATGTACCCATAAAGTAGAATCTGTGAGCTCCTTGCCGTACTGGAAAGATAAATAGGAAAAGAAAGAGAGAAAAAGGAAAACGAGAAACAGTCGATAAAAACAGCTCTCAATAGCAAATTTGGGTGTATCGCTATAGTGTTCAGAAAATGTTGGAGAAAACAACAGATGGTACCAATTTTATATTGAGAAAACAAAGGTTTTAAAATATTTTTATAATACCGTTTCCCACATATTTTGTTCTAATATACGCCCCCTTTCTAAAGTGTGTATGTTTACATTTTCAATAGTAATAGTATTTGTAAATATCGCTCTTAGAACCTTAAAAAGACTTTGATGAAATTTTTTTGAGAAAGTACCTTTGAACCTCTTATAATTAAATATAGATAATATACAATAAGATGTTCGCAGATAAGGTTCGAATAAGGCTAAATTGACTCTGCTCGTCTTTCTAAGCAGGAGGTGGGGTCGGAGATTCTTCTTTCTGCCTAAGCGTAAGTTCACAAAAGTTACCATTGCTAATAATGATAGCGTAATGGATATTTTAATATTTTTAAATTGAGCACTTTATTTTGCAACTTAATTAAGGAAAAAAAGAGTTAAGCCAAACTAAGTTAAAATTAAAGCTCGGATAATATTTTCGATGAACTGTTTTTTATTCAACAACGGGTTTAAAATTCTATATATCTAAATTAAAAATAAATGAATGTTGCAGTCTGGTGCAACGGATCTTATGTTAATATACGAATATAAATATAATCCAACTGTCAGTGTCCAGTTTCAGACAGACGGACGAACATTGCAGAAAGCCTATATACTTTTTCACCATGGGAGGGGTGGGAGCATTAAAACTTGATTTCTGGGATAATTTGAGTGGTGTTTTATACTTTGTCAGCGTTTGGCCACCAGCTTTTTGTTCGTCATAAAAGGAATCTTCTGCCTAAATTCAACTTGGTAGCTTTTAAATTTTAGATATATGCATTAGCTAACCGACGCAATGAAACAGTCAGTAAATAGATTAACCTAATTAAGACAGTTCTCTTAGTAATGTAATGTAGTAAATAAATATTAAACAAGAAAATTTCTTAAAAAGCGAAAGGAATCCTATATATCTTTAAAGACACTTGGACTATTTAAATAGTATAACTTACCGTTGTTCTTCGTGGCGACATCTTTTTCAGCTGAGAATATATTTGAGGGCATAAGGTTTTTGACGTTCCGCGGAGTTTGAGGCATATTAGCTCCAAAAATGTCGCTTGAGACTCCGCCAGGTGCCCTCAATACCCTAAAAAGAAGAAGAGTTGAAAAATTTCTTTTAATAAATGTGAGACAGAATAAACAGATGAGTTACGGTTATTGCAAAAATATATAAAGCATGAGTAGGCACATGATAGGTATGTTCGGTTAAGTAATAACGAAAGTTGCAAAGGTGTACGCATTATTCCAGGTAAAGGTATTTCTATTTGCGTATCTTTACGCGATTTAGTTTATATCTGCTATCCCGCTGATCCACAGTATGGTTTATTTTTAGTCTCTGTATTTACTCTTTCCTCTCTGCCTCCACACCGTAACGTTTTACGCCAACCACGAGATGGAAGGCGCTGACAAGTCGCGCGTTGTAGGAAATGCTGGGTACACATTTATAGCCGGCCGAGATGACCAAGTCCGTCTTGGTGATCAACGAAAACAATTATATAAATCTTGAATGCTTACTTTAGCAACAGAAGGTAGAGTTACACACTAATGCTATCACAAATCTGCCTTCCATATTATTAATAGCTGTTTAAGCAAGGCTGGTCACATTGTCCAGCACATCTCCAATGAGAAAAATCGTGCCAAAGTGGCCCTACGGCCATGTTCTTTCTTGATAGACCACGTGCCAACCATTAACAATGAAATCATATCAATATCGGCCTTCTATATAGCATATAGATATGTTTAAATGCTTGTTTACAAAAGAAGTTTTTTTCCGGCGTATGCTAACTGTACCATTTTCTCAATGTTAGTTAATATAGAAAAGATATATATAGACAATGAAAAATTATATTAATTCTTTCTACATAATTTTTATATTTAGAGTCATAAAGCCGAGCAGCATGAAATGTAAGTGCAATTTCGCTGTTTACTTTCAAAAATCCTTTCATTTTTGCAATGTGCAGCTCAGGGGCAAATCTGAAATAAACTTTTTTCAGTAACCAAAGAATGTGTGAAAAAAAAAACTTAACCGGTAGGTATTCGCGGTGGTGATGATTCATATGCCATCACCAAACGAACTGAGCTAAACTTGCTCTGGGAGACATTCAATGCCCGCCTGGAACTTTTACCTAGTTTATTGGAGACAAGGCTTAAAATGTGTTTAGTCAATTGCAAAGAAAACGTTGAACGCTTTTTATGCAAAACCTCACGGGTAAAAGTTGTTTTGTGGTCGCTTAAAGTAAAAGTGACAGTTTCGTCAATGATTTACTTACTCCTTTTTAGCGATTTCAGGTGTTTCTTTCGTCTTTATATGGGAGCAACTGCTCCTCATGCAGTATAAATTTTGTCCCTTGCCGACAATTTGTTTTTTTTCGAGTGCTTATGAAAATAGCTGAACAATTACAAAAGTGTTGAAAATATTTATTTTTTTGGCATGATAACCATTTTATTTGAAATCTGTCTTGCGTTGACAATTATTAAATTTTTTGAAGGGTACTTGACTGGGTGTGTTTCATTTGTAGTTATTTCTCATTGTAAATAATGTGTGGTGGGTGCGGGTGTAATTAGATGAAGTGATCTGGTCCATTGGAAGATACAGCGGGTGCACTCTCTTGAATCTTTTTGTGGTGTTGCTGTTGTCCAGCAGACCAACTGCTACTAGGTTGTTGTTATGAAGGCGTAGCCTATGAAATCAATCGACTACGTAATCGAGCACAAATTGTGGGGGTCGAAAGAGTTCGTGTCTGTAAATCTCTTATTACTGTTTTCAAAAAGAATTTGTTATGGTTTTATTTTAAATTTATTTAAATCTGAATTTAAACTAAAAAAATTTTCGCTAAATCTCACTTTTGAAAGACATATAAAAAAAATTTAGTAATACCGAAAAATTTGTTATCGTCCGATCAGATTTAAACTTGTTACCACTTAATAAAAGATTGTATATTTCAGTCTTTACCCACCCTAAGAGATAGCAGTGGGCTGGAATAATAATAAAAATAAAAAAATGTCTGCATACAGAGAACGCCAAATGTATAGGGCAGTGGGGATTAGGTAAGAGTTTTTTAGGCAAAAGATGCGTTTGGTGAAACTATCTATAGCTATATAATATAGTAGTCCGATATTGGTAAGAATTTGCGCATATGTAAGGAGCGTAGTGAAACTACTAAATTCCGAGTTTTGTTAAGATATCTTAAATAACAAAAAGTTGTTTATACAACCGTTTATTGGCATCTATACCGATATAAGATATTGCTTATATATAAGGGGCACATTAATACTAATAAATGTCGAATTTTGTAAATATATTTTGAAAAACACAAAAATTTTGTATGCAAGACTTTAATTTTTTGGCCCATCATTCCTATCGCAGCTATATATATGTATATATACTGTTGTAACCCGGCTGGTTCCAATGTATGTAGTGTCTGCAGCCTATGCAAATCTTTATGAGGATAACTATAAAAACAAGTAAGAGGTTCTAGTCGGGAGCTCCCGACTAGGGGATACCCTGAACCCTCTTCTTCCAACAGGCGATAGGTATAAAATGAAAGATACTTGATATATATATACTATTCTAGAAGCTACATGTCAAGTTTGGTGATTTTAGCTCTTATTATTTACAAAATTGCTAAAAAAAAAAAACAGGATTTCGATATAGATTTTTATCGATTACTTGGAAACGGGGCAAGTTATCGAATATCGAAAACAAACTCGATCTGCGCGGGTACTAGGAGCACCTTCAAGTCTCTAGCTCTTATAAGTCCTGAGATCCTTGCGTTCATACACACGGACATATGGACAGACGGACGGACGAACGTACAGACAGACGGACATGGCTAGATCGACTCGGCTGTTGATGCTGATCAAGAATATATATACTTTATGGGGTCGGAGATGCTTCCTTCTGCCTGTTACATACATTTGCACAAATACATAATACTCTTTTAACCCATTTTCAATGGGTTCAGAGTAAGAGAGTAGGACTAGAGACTAGGACTAGTTTGAATAAAAACACATATTTCATGACAAAATTATAATACCCGCTTCAAAGCTATAAAATCTCATAGACACACTCTATGGGAGCTAAATTTCTACATGGCTCATCGCGATTTTAAGCGTATATATGTATAAATTGATTAATTGAAATTAATTATTATGAGTTGGCTTAAACTTCACATAGTGGCTAACCGCATGCCATTAAGGTCAGATGGTTATGAAAAGTGTGTCCCTTCAAGACATAAAACAAATGAAAATGCATTTTTCCATATATTTTTTTTAAGGTTTGAAAAAAAAATATTAATAAAAACTTGACAGACGGAAGCACTCGACACACGGATATTGCACAAAACCAATTTACTCTTATTCGCCTTGGTACAGAGTATAAAAATAATGAATAAAGAGTTTGAGTGCATTCGTCTGTAACATACAAGTATGCGAGTAATTGTTCATCGAGTTCATTTGTTGTTTTTATTGAGTTTGGGTTGCTCTGAATTGGTTGCAGTGATCTGTTCGAGCGCAACAATCCGTTATTGTTGGCATTACAGCAGCTGCTTTGTTTCATTTCAAACGTGTCCCGCAGAAGCGCGTGCAACCGCAAACAAAAACATAATGAAAATTTAACTGCAGCACGAAAATTGAGTGCGATTGCTGTTTTTTGTTATTGTTGTATGGTTATGTTGATTTCCCTAAAACGTTGATTAGACGTATCCATTATAATTGCTTGACATGCTACAAAACAATAACTGACGGTTAGATGACTTGGTTGATGGGCCACGCTGCAATACTTTCCCTGCGCTTCGGCAGCTGTGCATTCAAGCGGAGTTGGAGCTGCTCGATGCTGCTGGTATCCGATGCTGATTTTTTTGATGGATTGGCGCAAGCATTTCGAATGTTTGGAAATTTCCTTTATGTTGTAGGAATTAATCAGTGTGCCATCAATTTGAAAACAAAATGAAAAGGCATAGTTTCGAGGGAACGAAGTTTAAATACACTTCCAGACATATGGCAAGTATACAATACAATTTTTTTATTGTTATTACGAATATTTTTTCATTATTTTCTATTGGAAATTGTAATACAATATTGATTCGTATTGCATTATTTATTGAGGCTATATATAACTTGTTATAAAAGTTTGGAGGCTGAGATAACTAGTTTCCATAGAAACAGACAGACAGAAATTCCTGACAGAAATATCGATTCGCCTGTTAACACAGATCAATAATATACTAATATTTTTCGGATTATAAATGTCTTCTTCAATGCGAAACACAATTTGTGATAAAATGGAAGAGTATCAATTAATTACTTACCTTGCAGAGAATCTGGCAAGTCACAGATATATTGGACGGGTACACAACTGCAAGATTGTCAATTACCGATAGTGTTTTTTTCGCTTGATCAATAATTATCGATTGGATGCAAAGAAAGTATATGGGCGCAAAGAGAAAAAGAAAAGTTGCCGCACCACGTTGGAACCACTTAACAATTTTGTGCATATGCGTGAAGATCGGTATGTCTGGCTATAGTGTTTGTGTATAGTTTTGATACCCTGAACACATTGAGATGACTAAACATGGTATATTGGTTTTGTGCAAGTGTATGTAACAGGCAGAATGAGAGTATATATATATTCGTAGGGCCTCCTAGTACGAATTTGAAATTTATTTTTAATTATGCTGTATATCCCACCTATTAAATAGATAAATAAAAGTTTAAAGCATTTGGTACTGATAGAAGAAGGTTCAAAATATCCCCAAGTCGGTCCGACTAGACCACTCTTAATCTTTATATCCTTGTCTAGGTATAAGTATTTTGCAGAGAAATGTGTACCCCATCAAATCCTTTTGATAAGCCTTTGTATATATTAAGCATACATATAGCTACCCATAATAACAAACATGTATATACGTGCCTGAATATAAGGTAATTTAACGAAAATCGACCAAACATCAGAGTATATATGGCAAGTAACTGTCTCCGACAGGTACTAAAGGTACCAAATTAGTATCAGAATGCGCAACACATAAATTCTGTTACGCGGCTTTAATGTGACAGTGTATTCTGACCCATATAAATATATTCATAAAG